GGCTCAAGTAACCAACACCAATTATATGCGGATGAAGGGAAGTGGCTGTTGTGAATTTCTTTAGGTGCTGCTAGAAAATCAGTTGGAGACTTTTTAGACCAACAGGCTTCTGGGGAGAGACCATGTTTGTGTGTTGTATTGTTTTGAGGATCTTTTCTTTCGTTTTTGAAAAAAATCACAAGAGTTTTAGTCCTCTTGATTGCAGAGAAGATGGGCATTCGGCATATGTGGAAGGCTTAAGCTAGAGGCAATCTGGGAAAGAGAGCTGAGCAGTTATGAGTGTGAAACGTAAGTGTGCAGGGTGTTTTTCTATCCGTACTGAACTCTTCTTCAGATGCATGTATTACTTGCATGATACTACTTTAGCTTTTTTGGGGGGGGAGGTCAAGTTGTAGCTGACTTATGATGTTCAGAGGTAGTTTGCTATTGCTTGCCTGTGTGTAGCAACCCTGGATTTCCGTAGTGGTCTCCCGTCCAAGTACTATTCAGGGGCGACCCTGCTTAGCTTCCAAGATCTGATGAGATTGGGCTAGATGAGGGCACTACTCTTGCTAGTTAGTAGTAAAACAAACACCATCCCAGTACAATGAAACAGAAACAAATATTTCAGTCTCTTGAAGGGAATTGCTTACTTTTACAGTGTAGATATAATCTCAGTATAAAGCAAGGGATTGTTTTTGGATAACTTTATTTTGAGTATTTAAAGTAGGGTGTGTGTGTGTTACATGCTGTCAAGTCACTTCCGACTTATAAATTACTTCCGAATTATAAATAAATAAGTCACTTCCTCACCTTATAAATTAATGACTTACAAAAAGTAGGGTACAGGAATCCCCCCACCCCCTTTTGCAGCTGTTCTTCAGCACTTTATATTCAAGGTGATTCTCAAACTAAGCTGCGTGTCAGGAACAGTCACTTTCTGCAGAAGAAAGTGTGATGTACTGGTTAGCATTTTTAGGCTAGGACTGGAGAAACCAGGATTCAAATCCCTACTCTGTAATGAGACTTGTCGAGTGATCTTGGGTCTGCGCATTATCTCAGCCTGTCTTAACCAACCATAGGATGGTGGTTAAGATTATGTGGCTGAGAAGAAAATAATAGAAATCATTTTGAGGAAGGGTGGGATAATGAGGAAAAAAGTGGGAAGAAAATGACTGGTATTTGGTTTGGCATAATTCTAATTTTGTAAATGTTGCTCTTTAGGAAACTGAAATCATACTGCTTCTGTACACCTTCACACAAATTTGTCTTTAGGGTTCATTGATCTTTGGAATATAACCCCCTTATGTGTTTCTATGAGGTACAAAACATTCAGAGTGTATATGGATTGACTTGTGTGATTAAGACTGCAGGCCTTTTAAAGCAAGTCCTGTTGAAAATTGTGATTAGTCCGTAGGATTAGAACGTGTTTCGCTGAGAGTCAGTGCACCTCAGCATATTCTGCCCTGGCTTTGCCAGAAGACGATAGTAACCAGTTGTCTTCTGTCCACACCCTTTGTAAGGAACAAGAAACCCCCGTTTAAAATGTAGCATTGGAGGACAGTAAAGGAGTGGAATACAGTTACCACAAACAGCCAAGAAAAGAGTTTAGAGTTCATGCTCCCCCAGTCCTCCCAGAGTTTCAAATGTGCAAATTAGGTAACTATAAAGATGTAAAGTAGCTGTACCCATTTAAATGAAAGTACCAAGCAGGCAACCTCGCAAACTGCTTTGTGATGCATAGCATACTGCACTGTTTGTCTGCTCATGGGCCCAGTTATCGCTTTCCTATAGGTACAGCCTGATCTCTCTTCCCTACAGGGCTGAAGTTGATTCTCAGTTCCCTGTTTACAGTGCCTGATTCCTTATTCTCCAACACAGCCACAAATATTTAAACAGCTCTGTACTCCAGTATGCACCTGGACCACCCCAAATCACACATCCTTGGTATGAGGAGACAGGGCTCTTTTGGCTTCCAGAGAGTGGTATTTGATCCAAAGCCTGGATTTATTATAAGTAACTTGCAGAACTGCTCTGGGCTCTGCAAGCCTTTGGGATTACTAGGGGCATCCTACTTTGGTGCTGAAAAAGTAGGTCTTGGAATGGACACTGTCCTATGGAGGCTGTTGGAGCTCATTCTCTTCATTCCAGGGATGTGTGATTTGGGGTGGTCCCAAGCGTGTTTCAGAGGCAGGCAGTGGCAAACCAGCTCTAAATGTCTCATGCCTCGAAAACCCCTTGAGGAATTGCTATAAGTTGGTGGTGACTTGACAGCAGTTTACACACGCGAAGCTTGCTTGGGATTGTGGGGTTGTTTCAGATAATATCAGTGTTTGTGGTTGGATTGCAGAACAAGCAAACAGGAACACCAAATAAAGAACTTGGATCCAGCTTCAGTCTTGCATATTTTTCTTAGAAACTTCCCCAATGTTCCTAATGCATAGCTTACGCGGATACCATGGGTGCTCTGGGTTCAGTGCCATACCTCTGCCATCCAGCTTCTGAACAGAAAACCCTGAATTGTAAACGTAGACTAGAAGCTGTTGTACTGTTTACTCCCAAGCAGTGATGTGGGGTGGACTATTTTTGCCCCACCCACAGATGTCGATATAGTCTGTTTAGCTATAGTTGTTAAGGCTGTTGTGATGAAAATCAGCCATGTTCAGTAGGCTGTATATGGGATATGAAGCTAGGGCACACCCCAGAGCTTGTACATGGCGTGTTTGCCTTCCTTTACTAATATTATTTAAATTTTGCTACGTTATTTAAATATTTTAAATAGTATTTTAAATATAAGTTTAGATTTTCCCAGAAAACCCACACAGCTGCTCCCAGGTATCTGTACTGATAACTTCTTCATTCTTGGCAGCATTGAATGGTTGAAGTGGTTGCTCCTAAAAGTGTGACAGCCCAAGTACAGAACCTTGAGAAAAAACTGCCTAAAATCCCTTGTTTGGGAGGATATTCAACTGATTCAGTAACACACCTAGCATGTCTTGGCACCTTTTTTGGGGGAGGCTCCAGAGAAAATTCCTGTTGCTAGTTACTAGGCAGAAACAGATAAATTGACTAGGGCTGCATTCCTGTGCACATTGATCTGGAACTAAACCCCATTGAATGCACTGGGGCTTGTTTTTGCATAAACTAGCATAGGATCAGGTTGTATTTCTTGTGTCTCTGCCACTGCTTCTGTTTGCTGTGTTGCTTTCACTGGAAGGACATTAAACTGTAGGAATTATTCCAGTACTGCCTGCAGAAGCTGAAGACAGAAGAAATCTGGTATTTACTTGCTGGCGGAGTAAAGCTGTACCCCCGATGAAGCTTAAGTTATGAGAATTTTTTAAAGGCTGCTTTTAAACTTCAGGTGTTTCATGAAACTAGATTCTTGCATCCTTCATTTTATAGGGGACAATCATTATAGCTTATAATGGATTTTTTCTTTCTTTCCAAGGGTTGACTAATATTTACTGCATTAAGAAATGGTTTCAGAATTTTTTTAAAGTAGATTTGCCTAGAATTTATACTTCTGGAGAATATGATGCCTTTTTGTTTCTTAGGTAGCTTGAAGTCTTCTGTAACACCAGTATGAATAGAACAAACAAGAAGGAATCGTGATACTCATGGGGGGTGTAATTCCTTTCCTCATGTTAATAACCCCGCCCCCCAGTTGCCAGCCTCCCTACCAGCTGGCCATTTCTGGAGCCTTCTGCTTTGCTCCCCCTTCCTCCTCCAGGGCAGGAAGGAGGTCCAAGGAGGAAGGGCCCCAAGAGAAACAATTTGCCCTGGGAAGTGTCGGATACTCGCTCCAGAAGCTCTCATCGCTGTTAACCGCTTGAGTGTGTCTCAGCTGAGCAGCCTTACTGCAGCACTTTAAACACTTTGATGAGCCCAGGACAGATGGAGGAGTGAGAAGAAGGAAGGGCAGCTTGCAAGTGCCCGCTGGTCCTCCTGTCCAGAGGTCTTTAGCTGCCTTTCTTACCTTGGGCATCCCTCCCTCCTCATCTTTGCCTGCGCGCTGTACCCACCCTGCGTGTGAATTCTCGGGGCTTTCTGAGGCAGCCTCCTGTGCTACTTTTGTGCACTCAGTTGCTTTCAGTGCCGCGCTAGAGTAGGCAGCACTGGACCGACACGTTGGAGGAGAAGGTGGCGCAGGCAGGACTTGGCAAGCCACCACACACTGTGGCTAAGTTTAGATTTTAAAAAGGTCCCTCCCCCAACTGGCAAGCCCATCAAGACCCCCCCCATTGACGACTATGGTTGTAGCAAACCCTGTGAGGCTTCCAGCCGCTAACCCCACCAAGGCTTCTCCCCTCCCAACAGTGGCAAGGACCCCTGTGTGGCTCATCCCCACCAAGCTCCGTGACATTTTCCAACAGTAAATCTATTTTCTGTGCATGCGCAAAAAATGCAGTTTACTTTGGGGGGGGGTTGAGTATCCTCTGTAAAATTTTTTAAACATGTCAGGAATTACTGAATAGTAGTGATTACCATTTGGGGAAGCAGCATCTAAGTACTAGTATGTACACGTTTAAGCCATCAGTTAACATGAAGAAACTGTGTGTGTGTGTGTGTTAAGTGCCATTGAGTAGCTTCTAACTTATGGTGATGCTATGAATTAATGACCTCCAAAATGTCCTGTCGTTAACTGCGTTGCTGAGGTCTTTCAAACTGAGGGCTGTGGCTTCCTTTATAGAGTAAATTCATCGCACGTTGGGTTGTGAACAAATGAATCGTTGCAAATCCCTGCCATTTCACACTAGTCAAACAGAGCAGTTCTAAGTCTGGAGTTGTGTGCAGTAGTGTTTGGGGAAAGTATTGGCAGTGGTGTTACAGGTGGTGCCAGTCTTCCACATATAATGTGAAGTTCAACGTGATTAACCTTGTTGAGTTCCTGTTTCTTTGCTTTGGGATCTGTCTTGAAAGTATTTAGTTCTCCAATTTTGTAAAACACTGAATACTAACTTGGGTATTGATTGCGTACAGCAGTAAAGTGTTCACGTAATGTGTTTTGTTTCTTTCAGAGAGTGTCTTTAAGTAAGCCTATGCACTGGATGGCAAGATTCTCCTTGGTACGTATATTGTGTAATTCATGTGTTTCTGATATAAATGTCCATCACCCTTGCCCAAACCAAAAGCATACTTTATCAATCTGTTATTTGGTTCAAAAAGGGAAGTCAAAAGTTGCATGGAAAATAACGCTTCAACTCCATCTGTAGTTGCATAGGGGGGCAGAATCAAGCCTTTGTTAAGTATTTCCATTTGCTCCTAGAGCAGTGGTGGCACTCAGAGCCCTCTCTGTGGGCACGCGTGCCATCGCCCCAGCCAGGCCAAGACCATCATTAAAGTGTCGAATTCTCTGCCAAATAATTTTAAGTAAATGAAAGCATTTGGGATTGCTTTCCTTTGTTTGGATCATCTTAAGTTAATGTATGAGTTGTTTTTTCTAAAGTAAAACCTCAGTATTCAGGTTAAATTGCCGTGTTGGCACTTTGCGATAAATAAGTGGGTTTTGGGTCGCAGTTTGGGCACTCGGTCTCTAAAAGGTTCACCATCACTGTCCTAGAGGAACACAAGAGCAGCAAAGACATAAGAAAATACAATTTTGCCAATTTCTCTTTTGATTAAATTTAAATTTCTCTGTAAATTATCCCAATGATGCATTTTATTAAAATCAACTGGAGATATGGAACCCCACAGTGTAGCTGTTCTCAGTGTATGTGTTTGTGTATGTGTGTGAAGTATCACCAAGTTGCATTGAGACTGAGCAATATGCAGAGTATGGAGTTGAAGAAGAATGAAAACAAAGTTTTAGCGATCCCCCCCCCGTCAATTTGACCACTCTGATTAAAAGCTACGAAACTGATCAGTGAATGGTCTGTTTTATTTACTTTATAATGTTAAGTGTCTCTGCCTAAAACTAAAAGAAGTTCACACCAGAAAGACACAATTTTAGTATGGTGTGTTCCTAAAGGGAAGCTGTAGGGTTAATATTTTTTAAAAGTTTCTCCAGTGTCTAGTTCTTGTGGTCTTTACATACATTCTGTTTTCATGTATTTTTCTGTCTCTCAGAACATTTTTTTAATCAGGAAACCCTAGGTAAATATTAATTTCTGGGGCAATGATATTCAAGCCTCTGTTAAGGAAAGCATACTGTTAATTTTTTCCCTTAAATCTTCCGTTATGGTTGTGAGGTTGTCATGTCAGTTGATCTGCTAAATTTAGAAATATAAAATTGGATATATGGGTTCATTAATCAGAAATGTATGATCATACCAGCTACTGAAAATACAAGCCACATTTTTTGCTTTTATAGTAGTCATTGGAGGGGTTGATTGTGGCAATTATATTTATGCTTTATAAGTGTTACTTTTTATTACTACTTTAATTTTATACCTTTTTAAAATGCTTATCTCCTCTACTGAGTGTGTTTACTAAATTTTGTTATCCCTTGTGGTAAAATTTCCATAGCAAGCTGTCTCCACTCTAGTAACATTTTAGTGGATTAACTTCTTTTAAGCCCTCAGTAGCTTCCTTGTTATACAAACAAAGGTGCATTTGGCAGCCAGTATTCAAAATTAGGAGCCTGTGTTTTCTATGGCTATGTCTTTTCTGAGTTTTTATTTATTTATATTTACATTTATATCCCGCCCTCCCCACCATTCGGCAGGCTCAGGGTGGCTAACAACATATATAAAAATACATTAAAATTCCATTAAAACTGTCAATTTTTTCTTTAGAATTTTAGAAACTTTAGAAAAAGAAACAATCAAACTTACCTGCCTGTGTTCCCTGTTCCTTTTCCTTGTACTTTAAATGCACCCTAGCTCTTTTGCAGTATTTTTGTTACGTTTATCATGGTACACAGAAGGAAATGAAACTAGTTTTATAATGCCACTTCACCATGTCTCCTAATGACATTCAGAGCCATTATCCATGTCCTTCATATTACAGGCAAAAAAGGCTTGTCGGCCCCTAACTATATAATAGCCTTAGGTGGGGAGCTTTTGTTTCCATTCATATTGAGATGGCACAGATGTGTAAATCGTTTCTGAATTCCTCTCTGACACCCAGCTATGGCCATTGCTCCTTTTGATTCTCTCTCAGGAACAAGCCAGAATAAGCTATTAAAAATTTCAGTTACAAGCAACTTCAGAATGCTGTGTTAGCATTTGAGGAAAGTGGATAAATTAAAACAGTTACAATGAGCTGCTAAAAATAGACTGTGGCTCATATGGAAAGCAATTGAAGGACAGTTATGTATGGCATAAGTTGCTTTTAAAGCTCTCTCTCTGTATGTGTGTGTGTTTATATGTATTTTAAAAATTAATATATCTGTTGTCATAATAGCCCAATAGTTGCTGCACCAGCTCCAGTTTTCTGCTCACAGAAGCCTATTTCCCCCCCCAAAGTTGGGCCTGATTTGCATATTTATATTTGCATATATTTGCATAAACATTTACATATATAAGCGTTTCTCTGAGGAAAATAATGGGATAGCCGCTGCCTCCAAGTATTCCACATATACTCCCAAAGTGCATGTAGGTCTCTGGATGGAGGACTTAGCCCTTTAATAACAACTGAGATGCAGAGATCTGTTTTAGGTGTGACCAACTGGTTCTGTGATACTATTGTTCTCTTCCCCCCACCCATTTAAGCAACAGACTCCATATCATATGCGTATGAGTTGTTTCCTCACTTTCAAAAGAGGCTTACCATTTGGTGTGGGGAATTGCTGCTTGAGAGACACAGGATGAAGGTTCTGTTGGGCACACAGAAATAGTTATACAGTTCTTTGGATCACGGCCACTGACAGCACCGCAACTCTGGGTTAAAATAAAGGGAACTTTAATCGCAGTAAAATGTTGATTTTATAATTAAAATGACTTGGAAGAACTCAAGTTCATATTAAAGGCCCTGTTTAGTTATAAGATAGTTACTTCTGGCTGTTTTAAAAGCTGTAAATATTGTGCTCTACTTGCACAACTAACGAGTGATTCTGCTTCTAAAATAACTCTGTACTGAATTTCAAACAAGTAAACTGCAAAGCTCTTAACGTAACTTGCAAAAGGAAGGTAAGTGTGCTAGTTATGGTTTTCCTGTAGCCAGTTTCGAATAGCTTTATATATAAAACTTCTGAACTGACTGAAACAGACCAAAGACAGATATCTACAAAAACAGGAAATTCTTTTCTCTGCCCTTTCTCTGCAGGCCTGAACTGTGTGATAGATGTGCGTTAGATGTGCACTTTTTTTTACAAATGGCTACAAAACTTTTTCAGTTAGTGTTGCTTATTAGTTAAACTGCCCGGTACTACTTTTCTTATGAGGTAACTTGCTTAAATGTGTTTGTTTTACAAGAAGAGTTAGGTAAAGTGAAATGTAGTAGGCTGAAACTAAATTATAATTCATAATATTCTTACAGAATAATTTAAAGAACATTATATAACATGAAGAAAGGAAGTTTGCCATTTTGTTTTCATGCAGAAGTGAGAGGCGAATCCTTAAGATGATGTTCTGAGAGTCAGTGCAGAGATGCAAATCTGGGATTCCAGCTGCATACATTAACATTTAGCTCAGCAGCAAAGCCTACCATTTCTCAGTTGTAGCAGTGTCTGAATAAGGTTAGTTTGTGGCAAAAAGAGACTTCCTAGTAAACAGAGGGGAGAATTAAGCAGAACTTGCCTAGTATTTATCCTAGGCTGACCTTACCCCAGGAGCTATTGCCCCAGGGATCTGTAGATCTGACTTCTGTATATGACTTTTAAAAAATGAGCTCTCATTAGTTCTTCACTGTAAACAAGCTTGCCAAATGGATACTTACTGGTTATAGCAAATGCTACCATATTATTCTCAAATTTAAGGACCAGTTGTTAGGCTTCTAATTTGTTTGAGATGAATGGAACAAATCCTAAGATCTACTTGGACGTCTGTTCAATGCTATTCAGTGTAGCTTAGTATTAGAGATGTAAAGGTCCAGGAAAAAAACTGGGGGGGGGGGAAATCAGTGAGAGATTTTTTTAAAAAAAAATCTAAGAGGTTTTTCAATTTTTCTAATGGAAACACTGGGAAATTTTGGGGGGAACACCTCCTATGAAATATTTTTTTTTAATTGAGAAAAACATTGTCCTAAAAAGCATTTCACTCATTCCAAATGTATAGCATGAAAAGGTCTGAGGACTTTTTCAACCCTTTTCAATGAAAAAAATGTGAAATCTGAAATGGCTGGCTGTTTTCTCTTTTGAAGTTAGTGGAATGCTTTTTAAGAAAAAGTTCTACTCAAACTGTTCAGCGTTAACATTTGAATTTAAGAAATCTACTAGAAGATTCCTTTGCATACTGTAACCACCTACAACAATTTCTTGAAAATTGATTAAATGTAAATAGCTTGAGCAATAATTAATGTGCTTTCAATGGTATAAAGTTTAATATCCAAACCTGCCCAATGGGACTGTACAGGAGTGTTTCTGTCCAAATAATACACTTTCTTTTTTTTGCTACAGAGTTTGTCCTTTAACTTCAGTTTTTCTTGCCATTCAGATGGCAAAAATTAAGGTACCATGTGCTATGGTAGCGTAGGGTGAAGCAGCTTGAAACTGTTTCTCCATGCCTTTTATATAATTGCAATTTTTGTTACAGAAAATGAAGACATTTATACTTTTAAATGGTATAAATATGACAAATAGTATTCCTTCATATTTAATAAAAACCTTGCCCAGGTGGTGGACCCCAATACTCACTAAACTGTTTAACCAAATAAATAACACGGGCATATTCCCAATAGGGTGGAAAACCAGTATAGTAGTCCCTATACATAAAAAGGGGGACAAAACAGACCCAAAAAACTATTGCCCCATAAGCCTCCTTGGTACAGCATCCAAACTGTATGGGAAATATGCCTCCACTGTCACCTGTTCCTCCTCTTGTTCTCTGAAACTGCAGTTACCATAGGGTTGGCAGGCCCCAGGTGGGAGTGGAGATTTCATGGGCTCTTGCCAGTTGACCAACAGCAGAAGCCCTGCTTTCAACAGCCATGATTCAGTGTGATGTCCTTGATGTGATGAAATCATGCG